CCTTTCACTCCCACCATTTCCATCTGCTGAAATGAGTAATTCAGAGAAGGGTCATGGCAGTCACGTACCTCTTGGCCTCACCTCTTCAATCTTCTCCTACCTCTGATTACTGTGTCACCGCACAGCTCAACCCTGCTCCCCCCTTCCCTGTCTCTGGTTTGTTCCAATCCCCTAGGAGCAAAGATGCCTCGTACATCTAGGTAGCCACACACCTTTATTGGACATGCTGGGGGGTGGGGCAGAGAAACATTACTAGGAGTAGATAACAGACAGGATAAATGCAGAAGAAAGGCTAGCTAGATCAGAGGAAGATCAAGGATTGTTAATACCTACAGAGTGAAAAAATTAGCAGAAATCAAGTAGATAATGCCCCATGGCACCAATTGAGTCCCCAATATGTTTTAAACTTTCAATGGGCCAGGAAACAAATGGGGCTGTGACTGAACCTTAAGCTCCCCCTGCCAAGAACTCTCCTATGAAGTCTAGAGTACACTGATTGCATAGACAGGCCATCACAATGAAGAAGCCACAGATATGCTCAGCAAACAATGTGAATAGAGGGATTGGCCCATGTAGGTGGAAGTGTCTCATCTCAAACAAAACACCCACGTTGCCCTTTTAAATTCTCCTAGGGAAATTCAAGGAATTAGAGGATTGATTTTAGTGCCTGGCTGGATTTGCAACTCCAGTGTAAGAGCTGGAGGGTGACGGGCATTTGGGTTTTGTCCTGCGTTTTACAGAGGTGCAAGGCCAAACGCAGCCTTTTGGGAAGCAAGCGCTACTCTCCAGGCTTCAGTGGAAATACACCTGGACTAAATGAGCACAGAAGCATTAAGCATGGTACTCATCCATGCAGAGAGTCAGTATGTGAGCCACATTGCGGCAGACATGCACTTTAGCAAATATCAGCGCATGACACGATGAACAGAGAAAGGAGCATCAGCCTTAACTGCAAGTTCCTTTGGGCTTGCAGCTTTATTATGGGCCCTGCCTGTCATTATAACATAGTTTCCGTATGGCAACCTCTTCAGTGGCCACAGATCAATGGACATCTGTGTGTCACAGAAACATTTGTTTGCGTTACTGTATCATCAAGAAGCTGTAATTCATGGATGACAGACTCCACCAAAGCCAAGTCAAGGTCAAGGGCTGCCTGAGCTCAGTGGCCCATCAGGCAGGCATGATTAAGACGTGCTTTTCTGTACGCAAAGGATAGATGCAACTAGCATTACCCTTGGTCACCTTGGAGTCCCCAGCCTGACAGACCAGGTGCCCAGTTACAGCTAGGTGAAAAAGGAGCAGCCCTTAGCTCGAGTGCAAGGGTCACATTCACACCTAGGGAGCAGAAGCAGGAAGCCTTAGCTGCTCAGCCACCGTGCCGCCTACTGCAGCTTCATAAACACAAAAGTGTGTGTGTGCGTGTGTGTGTGTGTGCCCCATATGGGCCAGCATTCAATGGGGTTAATATCCACACAGATGGCATCTATTATCTCTACCATACGTTTATCCCATAAAAGGCACAGGATGCACTCCTCCTCTTCCTCCTCCTCCTCAGGCAGGCAGCTATATTAATGTCTAGATTAATGCCTGCATGACACCAAGCTAAATGGCTACTGGCAGCAGCTGTCGCTGAGCAGAGACAGCTTCCCCAGCCAGATTGTGCTAATGCACTTATTAATGGGGCTCCCTAAATTGTATTTACTGCCCCACAGGCCTGAGAAGATGGAGTGAAGCTCCCAATGGTGCTGAGAAGAAAAATCATCCCATGTGTGACTAGCAGCACTGTCCCAACCCAGTGTCGGCTTTTGGGGAATGCAGCTCATGGCATTATTTTGGGGTGAATGACAAACCGATAGGGGTTGCCATTCTGCTCTGTGTGATGACAGCAACCAGATGTGTTCTGTGCTATGAAGGGTGGCATCTTAAAAGCCACTATACCTCCTACTGAAGATGCTGACCCCTCCTCCCCACCCTGTTTCCATATCTATGTGCCACTAGCACATTTAACCTAGCAAGTGCCTCTCAGCATAAGCCCCACTTTGAAAGATGCTACCCAATCATTTCTTCAGTCTCTCGGCTGAAAATGTTTGTACTAGCATCCCCAATTCTGATGGATTAATTGGGTAGGTGTTTTTTTTTAAAAAAGAAGCTAAGCAACCTGTAACAATTTACTCAGACCAAAAGGGCATTACAACATGGGCAGATATAAAATTTTGAAAAGGGAGGTGGGTGCACAAGGCAAGGGGCATCATAGCATAACACAATACACTTTTCTCCAGTTAAAAGTAAATTAGAAGTTTTACTAATATGCTAGGGGCCTAGCGCTGTATTATTCAGTTTAAGATTGAAGCATAAATAAATATAACTTCATTGGAATGAGTTAAAAACAGTTGCAGGGCTGTGAAATAGGAGCTTAATTGCCAGGACCAGCTAACAGACAGCAAAATTGCAGAAGAAAGGCTAGCTTAATTGGTGGAACATTGAGACCCGTACAAAGAAGAGAGAGTTGTTAATACTTGTGCAATAAAGAGGTTAGAAGGGATCAGGTAGAGCTATGAAATCAAGTGACTCCCTTAGCACTGCCTGACTATAAATGCTGTTGCTCCTGCCAGTCAGCTTTTTAAACTTTGGATAAAGCAGGAATCAAAGGGGGGTACAAATGCACCAGTGCCCCTCCCCACCAGATTGGCCCTGCATTACACTGACTGGAAACACCCAGAAGCTGCTCTCATTAGGGTGATGAGTAGATGTGACCATGGTAGAGCGGTGTGAAATATGAAGGTATCTGAATGAGTTCCAGATTTAACTGTTATTATGCAAAACCACAAAATGTGGATTAAAACAGAGAAAACTGAAAACAAATCTTAATAAACTCACCTTTACTATTTATATTTAATATGCTTTTAGATCAATAACATAGTTAATTATTAAGTGCTGACAGCATGGTCCATACTGTGCATTGCTCAGAGGCCAATGAAGTGAATGGAAAAGCTGACACTGATGCCAACAGGTTTTGGGTCAGGCCCAGCATGACGATATTCTAAGTGAGATGAACAGATTCCTTAGCAAACCCAGAGGAAGGAGGAACTGGGAGGGTGTTGTAAGTTCAAATGCTTCCTGCTGGCTTACATCTCATGAGGAGCACAGAAGCCTCCCTTTGCTATGGGGGACTTCAATGCAAAGCTATTACGCCAGAAATAGACACTGCAACATCAAAAGAGTGCAGGTTTAGAACCACGGAAGATTGGAGTAAAACCTGTCCATGGTGAGGAAGTGAAATTCTCTGGGAACTACCTCTTTTAAAAGGCCACTGACAAGCTGGTTGAGAATGATGGGGGTATAATGAAAAATAATTGCTGCTCCATGGTAAAAAGTTGAGTCAGCAGCAGAAAGAAATTGCAGCTCAGCTGCCTGGGAAGGTCGAATTTACCATCCCATACACTGACATTTAGGGTCAGCCAATGAAATATCCCAAGGTTTGTTGGGTTATTTGTAAATGGTGTAACATGAATGCAAACTGTTATGTTTGGTGACATGTGGTGCAAGCATCTACTCAGGGCTCACTCAAAAGGCGTTTGGACACTTATCTTGCTAGAATCATTTGATCCCTGCAGACTTCCTGCCTCTGGCAGAGGGGCTGGACTCGATCTCACAAGGTCCCTTCCAGCCCCTAATGTCTATTAAAGAAGCTAATACATGAAGCACCCTTTTCCATTTACAACCTATAAAATAGCCTCAGAGCAGGCAACCCAAACCATCAACCTCTTCCTATCACAAGACTGAGAATTATAACCTCAGCCAAGCCCTGCACAGAGCCCTTGTCGGATTATCATCTCTTCCTTGACACATCTGCACCCAGAGATACAGGAGGGCAAGTAACCTAGAAGCAAGTCTGGCCTCCACTCTGGAAGGTGTGTGGACCATGCTGTTGCCACCAAGAAGAAAGAATGCAATAAAGACAAGATGCCACAGCAGGAGAGAGTGCTATGAAATATTTATACAACTTTTATTTCTTTCCAAGCACAGATAAATCAGAAAGTGACACACGAAACATGCAGGCAGGGGAGACATGTGCTCTGCAGAAACACTTAGCCAGACTTCAAGCAGGCTGATTGTCTTACCTTAGGATTTTGCAAGCACTCCTACCAATTGGCAAATGAGCTCTTACCTCCAAGTTGATTTTAAAGCCTTCCTGAGAAGGAGACTGTTACCAATGGCTGACTCCAAAGGCAAACAAACAAGTCACATAGAAGCTTCTCTCTCCTGTTTCAAGAGAGCGGCAGCCCCTTTTTCAGAAGAGCATTTCATTTTAGGAACTTGAGTTCATCTGAAAATTAACATATCTTGAAGTTTTGTCCTTAAATGGGATGCTTTCCAGACTAGGATGCTGAGACAGTATGGATCAATCTTCCGGAAATGCCAGCTACATTCTGGCTGAACCTGTGTCACCCACTAAAAAAGCTACATGCTTAAAGAGGATGCTCTTCAAGTTTGCAACAGCAATAATTGCCTGTTCATGGCACTGGCTAGTGAGAGGTTATCTCATTTTTTCATAGCATGGACTACATCCCGAGACAGATCTTCATTTACTCCACTGGCAGTCCTATTTGCAATCACAGCGGTAATTCCACGGGTAGGAGGGGTTGTTTGGGGCACGGTCCACCAGGCTGGCCTGTCTAGGAGGCAGAGGCAGGAGTGAGACTGGGGACTGCAAGGGTAGGGATCGGAAGCTACAAGTCAGAACCAAATACCAAGCCAAGGTGAGGATATGGGAATGGGAAAAATAGTTACCAAATCCAAGGGACAATCCACAGGGCAAGATCCAAGAACAAAACCAAACTAGCATCAGGAGCCAGGAAAGTCACAGGGAAATCCAAAGCCAAAAGCCAGGAACAAGGCAAAACAGGGTCAGGAACCAGGGAAGCCAAAGACATTGCCAGAACAGGAGCTGCTCAGAGACTGGAGACTAGGGGGTTGTGCAGCCAGGTTCAGGTGCTGGAGAAGTCCCTTCAGAGCAGCCCCAGAACCAGAGGGAGGGGATAGGTGTCAGCTGGCCTCAATCAGTTAAGTGTGGCTGACCCACTTATAAGGGCTACAGGGCTAGATCCTGACAGAGCCTTACAGGGCTGACCCAGGCTTGAGGGCAGGAGCCTCACAGTGTGGTGGTGCTTTCTGAATGCAATGCACCCACTGAAAAGCAGAGGCAGAATTATGCCAGCCCTGCTCCAGACCACTGAAAACTGCTCCACAGACAGAAATCCAGGCGCCTGGGCCCCAAGGGCCCGTGACTAGCTGGTGCTTCACTGGAGGTGCAAAGCTACCTTAGTAGCTCCACTGCTAAATTCAATCCTGGCTGTTGGTCCAGGGGCACAGCCAAGGCATCCCCATTTCCTATGCTTTAAGACAGCACTAGCAGCTGGTGGGCCACATGCAGCCCAAGAGAAGGTAAAATTTGTAGCCCCTGAGTTTCCACCCAACCTGTGGCTGCAGTGCAGTGCAGTGGGGCATTGGGGAGAGGGGAGCACCTATGCAGCATAATGGCCCCCAGCCACTTAAAAACTGGATGGCAGGGCACACTGTTTAGGAACCTTCCAGCCCTACCTTTCTGCAACTTACTGTGTGCATCAGTCATGCTACTTCTCTCTGCTGATTTCTCTCTCTAGTCTGCAACTGAATATTTTATTTCTGCTTGTTCCATACCTTCTCATCCTTTCACAGAGCAAAATAAGTAGGGCCATATCACCCAGCCCTGAAGTCGTCTAAAACACAGAAGCGAAGGCAGCACAATAAAGATGAGCCATCTTTCTTGTAGGAGGCACCATTGAGAACTGACACCTTCTTCTGTTCATGTAGTGCCCTTGCTGGCTTGCTTCCTAACACAGAAATGCTGCATTCGCTGTCCTACGTGCCATTTAGACAAACAGGTGCAATCCTTTACATACTTGCATAACACTAAAGCTGCAGACCAATATGAAGTTCTGTCCAAAGCTTGAAAGAGAAACTATTGGAGCTCATTACAAAATTAATTCTTTTTTGCCTGTAACTGAATTGATCATGGTTAGAGATTTCTGTTGACGAATCTCCTGTTCATAAGGATGAGCTGGATAATATATGCAAACAAATTCTTGCCTGCGTTGGTTCGTAAATGTGTCACTGACAGAGAGTGGCAATTGATCAATTTGTTCACATTTTCAAAAATGCTTCAGGGACTTAAGAGTGTAAGCCCCAGTTGCAAAGTCAATGAGAGAGCAGAGTGCCAATAAGCGACAAATAGGGGGAAATGAGCAACGCATTTCCAGCATGAATTTTCAGACAAAGAGTAATTCGTGCCACTTGGAGGATTCACAAGCACGGTCACAAACAGAAAAAGCTGCCACCCTCTCAACACAGAATCAAATGAAAACTGTGAACAATGAATAAGACCCTGAAGCGAAGAGCGGAGCAAATCTATCATGCAAATTAGTGAAAATACTTGCCTGCTATTTCTGTGTTATTCCACCAGCTCTAGTGTACAGAGGCCTGAAGAATAAGGGTCTGTCTACACGTCACTCAGAGGTGCAATTGTGATGTGCATAGGGATACCTGTATTAGCTTTCATCTCGCTAGTTTGGGTACTAATAATAGTGAAGATACAGCAGCAGGAGCTTCAGGGAAGGTTAGGTCTCAAAAACATCCCCAAAGTTTTGTATGCTGATCCCAAGATGCTTCCTCTACCGTGTTATTAGTACCCAAGCTAACTGGAGTACAGTTAGGTCAGGTATCTCTACAGCAGTGATTCTCACCCAGGGTGCTGAGAGAACCTTTTACGGGTGTTGTGGGGTACTGTACAATTTTACCACTGTTAGGTGTGCAAAAACCTACACACAATTCACAAGATAAACCCAGAGATTTCAAATAGGAATCCACAGTGTCAAACACATTCTGACCTGTCGTGGCCTTTCTGAGCTCTTTGCAACAGAAGAATTGCTCTTTTTCCATAGGCAAAAAATAAGTAAAAGCTAAGAGCTGGCAACATCCAAGGGCTGCTTTGAATCTAATGAAGGAAGCCTTGAGTCTAATGAGGTTGAGAACCAGTGCTCTACCAGTACATCTGACTGTAATGTATATGTACCCTGGAGACCTGGTGGGCCACAAGAAGCCTGCACAGAACAGTACCTGAGAAGGCCCTGCTGCTTATTGCAAACTCCCCACCATTGCCCATCCAGGAGTAGTAAAACCAGCAGGGCTCAGTCATGGGCCTAGGTGCTGCTGGCGGGGAGAGGTTTGATATCTGGGTTGTATGTCCTCTGAACAGGCTTCACAGGGTCTGTCCTGTGCTGAAAAATGAGGAATTTGCCACAACAGCAGGAAACAGTCCCCCGTTAGAGCTGAGCATGCACCACACCTATGGGCTTCTGCAGCACCTTTGTTCTGTGCAAGAAAGCCAGAAGCACATAGGAGAGTTCCACGTGTTTACTACTTACGTACAAATGTGCAGCCCACGTACTACTACCCACGTACAAACATGCAGCCTATCCACATGCACTGCTGCTTGGCAGAGGTCTGGGCATTTCAGCAGTGGAAGGGGCTCCCAAAGTGCCAACTGGAATACTAGGTAATGCCTGTGTACCATAGCTTCTTCATGCTGTGGCTTTTGAGAAACTTTCAAGACTTTTAAAGCAAGATTTAGCCCTGTTCACTCTGAGCTTTAAACGTACCTGCTGCTTGCAAATGTCTCTTACCACCATCTGCATGACCAGGCTGGATATCTATTAATATATTTTTCTCTCTGACCCAAAAGACCTAGTGAAGACAGGATTTCAGGATGATTTTTAATAATTATGCACAGTATATTCACTCCTTAAGGCCCCACGTGACATTGCCCTTGCATATTAGGTCCTACACAAACACACAGTGGCAGTCTTTGCTTGGAGAACCTAAAAGGACAAGACACAGGAAGCATTATTACCATCCCCATCTTACAGATGAAAGCCAAGGCATTAAGAGATCAAGGCTGCATGCACACATTCAAGAAACCTGAAAGAGTTCTCTCACGTCTTTTTCCTGGTAGAAAAACTTACCCTGAGACACCTGAACAGACATTCAAATGCTGAGCCCCTGAGGAGCAGAGAGTTTGCAGTACTGATGCTGTGCAACCAGGGCACCCCTGTGTACACATTTCTGCATGTTCTGAAGGCTCCCTCAGTCTGGCTGGAGACAGATGGAAGCAGTGCACAGGGCAGCCCTGAATGGCTGACCCCGACTGTTCAGAGTCAGCCTGTGTCTCCCGCAAGCACAATCCTTGGTGGCCCTGGTTATCGCCAGTGGCATTCTAGTATGCTTTCCAGAACCAGCATAGGCAGGGTTTTTTCTGAGAACTGTATTAGTCAGATTGTGCTCCAGGTAGTCGCATGTTATCACAAACTGGGCAGCAGGCCCTGTGTGGTGATGCAGAATTCTTTTGTTGAGTCGCCCTGGCCCCTGGGGGATACTAAAACCTTGCATTAACATTCAAGATAAGTGGCACTGCTGAGTCATGTTGGCAGGCAGATCTTACTCACTCTAGCCAGAATATGAAAGTGCAGGAAATGTTTCCTGAGGTCCTGAAGGCAATCCTACAGGAGAAACAAACACAGGGAAGAAACATTCACCATGTGTTGTTTGCTGCTTCTGCTACTAACAGAGTCAAGCCACAATGAGAGAGTGAGCTTGGACAGTATCTGGGGGCTGTTGTGTACTGTAGTGAAGACTATCGGGGTAGAGGCTGGTCACAAGAGCTAGATCCTTATGAGAGGAAGGATGGTCTCATGGTCAGGCTACTGGTCTGGAACTCAGTTCAATTCCTGGCTCTGCTACTTGTTTCCTGTGAGATCTTGGACATATCAGAGGTGGTACTGTCACCCACCCTAGCGATCTTCAAAAAGCATCTTGATACCCACTTTGCTGGGATCATCTGACCCCAGCAATTTTTCCAGCCCAAGTGCAGGGGGGCTGGACCCGCTGATCTTGTAAGGTCCCTTCCCTCCCTGCTCTGGGAGAAAAATAACCTAGGAACAACCAGGGTTAAATAACTTCTGGAGAAGTTTCTGCTGGGAGAGTGAATGTTTGTACACATTCTCTTCTAAAAGAACCCACAGCACAGTCCTCCAGCATCCCAGGAGCAAGTTAATACATAATCTTTATACCCCTTAATGCTGCGGTAGGAGGGAGTGAAGATCTAATGTAATGTGAGAGTAAGCAAAGCACCATATTGAAAAGAGGACCAAAACAAAAAAAAAAGCCTGGCCAACCACTGGGAAAACATGCGAGATACCTGGACCCCACTGCCATTCCACCTGGCAACTTCCCTAGTGCAACATGTTGGCAGGGTGAAGTCCAGGGGCTGGTTTCATCTGCTTGATGCCACTGCCATCCAGCCACACAATATTTCACAACAAATTTATCCCCATTGAGCCAGTGGATCAGGACGATTTTTTTTTGTTTAGTATGTCTACAAGAAACAAGCTTGGACCAACTGGATAGCTGAAAGAGAAGTTAGACAAGTGTTCAGAAATCAAATGCTCTTCCTCAGGTCTAGGAAAGAAGGCGATAAGAGCCTAAATGAAATACTGGCAAAAACAATGACTTTTATTGAACCCTGCCATGTTAATGGAAGTGATCACTTAAAATGGGAAAAGTGGGCAGTACATTTATGAAAAATTGCTACAGACCAAGTAAAAAACAGTTGCAATAGATAAACCTAATTATGTAAAAGAATAAGACCTTTCAAAATGAAAGAAGGCTTTTAGCACCTATGGAGCACAGAAGTTAGCAAAGGGAGCAGGTCAGTCATAATGGACTATAAAACTAGCATTGGTGTTAAGCCCAAAGTTTTTCATAGTTTCATAGTTTGCAGGGTCGGAAGGGACCTGAGCAGATCATCAAGGCATCCAATAAAGCTGTGAAGTTTTTTTTCCAAGCCTATCTTCCAAAGGTAGTGTGTAGACTTCCCTTGAGGAAGAGAACCGTAGGGTCAGAGACAGTGTTTAGTTTACACTGTATCTACTTCTTTTCTAGACCTGAGCAAGGGAATTTTATGCTAAACGAACTGCCCAACATCTCTCCTAACTATAGGTGTCCAATACAAGTTATTCCTCCGACCCCTAAACACAAGCTGCTTTTAAAGGCTTGGAGCAATACTGACTGCTCCTTATGCT